CTTAAAAATTCTCTAATACATTTGTTTTTTGGATTTTAGGGACTTGTGCTGCTTACGTATTCAGCGACGATTCCTTCTCTCTGTAAAGATCAAGAAACATCCATCCTCTCGTGTGTTTCTCAAGTCAAAGTAGCCATCTTTTTCTGTGCTCTCTATCTAATAGCGATAGGTGAAGGAGGGTTCAAGGCATGTCTTAGAGCTTTTGGAGCAGATCAGTTTGATGAACAAGACCCTGAAGAGTCCAAATCCAAGAGCACTTACTTTAACTGGTTGTATTTTGCGATATCAACTGGCATATTGGCCACTCGGTTGATCTCGAATTATATCCAGGAGAATCTGAGTTGGGTTTTAGGTTTTGGGATTCCATGTCTTTCCATGATGCTTTCTCTGTCCTTGTTTTTACTTGGAATCAACACTTACCGTTTCAGCACCGGAGGAGAAGGAAGAAAGCACAATAACCCTTTTGTTAGAATTGGCCGTGTTTTCGTGGCTGCTGCGAAAAACCGGCGACACGCTTCTTCAGAGACCTTTCCTCTTCTTCCTCTCGAAACTTCGAAGAAATACAGGTAATAGTGTGTGTGCATGTGTTTTTTATTTTACTAATAAAATCACAAATTAGTTAATCAATCTTTAATATGTGAGTGTAGATGCATAAGCATAACCAAACGCCTACTAAGCATAAACAAATTAGTTGTTTTCTTTACAAGTTAAAAAGGTTTTATAAGAATTCAATCATTGGCAACTGCAGATTCCTAGACAGAGCGGCGATTTCGTGTGATTTAGCTGAAGTTGAGGAAGCAAAAGCTGTGTTAAGTCTCGTTCCGATTTGGATGTGTTGTTTAATGTTCGGCATTGTGTATGCACAATCTACTACTTTCTTCACAAAGCAAGGATCAACAATGGACAGATCAATCACATCAACACTCCTAGTCCCTGCAGCAACACTCCAAGGCTTCATAAGCCTATCAATCATCGTCTTCATCCCAATCTACGACCGTTTATTCGTCCCAATTGCAAGATCAATCACTCGTAAACCAGCAGGAATCACAACCCTTCAAAGGATTTCAACAGGAATTTTCCTCTCAATTCTTGCAATGGTAATAGCTGCTTTGGTCGAGATGAAAAGACTCAAGACCGCTCGAGATCACGGGCTAGTTGACTCGCCTAAAGCCATGGTCCCAATGAGCATTTGCTGGCTTATTCCACAGTATGCTCTCTATGGAATCTCTGATGTTTTCACTATGGTTGGTTTACAAGAATTTTTCTACGGACAAGTACCGGTCGAGCTAAGGAGCTTGGGACTGTCTTTGTACCTAAGCGTAATCGGCATAGGCAACTTCTTGAGTAGCTTCATGGTATCGGTCATCGAGAAAGCCACGAGTCAGTCTGGTCAAGTGAGCTGGTTTGCTAATAACCTGAACCAGGCACATCTTGATTACTTCTATTGGCTACTTGCGTGTCTAAGCTTTATCTCCTTTGTTTCCTTTGTCTATTTTACTAAGTCGTATGTCTACAACAGCCCAAAGTAAACCCAACTAGGTTTTAATAAATGGGCTGAATTCGGCTTTGTTTTTTTTTTCATAATGAGTTATTTGGCAGGGGAAGAAAAGACAAACCTCTTTGATGTGATTTTGTTCTGTCTTCATCCCCAATCTGTTGATGTGACCTAAAT